TAAATAGACGATGTCCACGGGATTCCCCTCATCCCTCTCTTCCGTCGCCCAATCGTAGAATTCGAGCAAGTTGGTGAAACAATTTCGACGCCTCCTAAAGCCGTGTTGAGAGTCCCGAATGAGCGCGTTTCCTTCGAGGAAATCCAAAATGTGGTCCCTTTGTATGCTCTCCATGATTTTCCCCGGGATACTCGTGAGACTTACCAACATGTATTTCTCCGGATTACTCTTTCCACCCTTCTCAAAGATCGGTACGACGTTCGCTAGTATCCATTCCTTAGACTTCACCGATCGAAAAACTGCTTTCAAATATGATTCTTAGCGGAACCGAGATTTTTCTCGCAAGTTTCTTGATGACTCTCGCAGGTATCCCGTGGGGACCGGTCGCCTTCTCCACCTTTAACTTCCTTATCATTCTCACGATCGTCTCCTCGGTGATGGGAATATCCGCAACGCGCGCCGAAGTCACCTCCTCCAAAGTCGGTGCTTCGTCGGATTCCACCGTGAAAACGGAAGCGGAGAACTCGTTAAGTATCCCAGCCATGTCTTTATTACTTGCAATCGATTCCCCTCTGCCGTTCATTAGAGACCTGATCGATTGTTGACACCTACCACTAGCATATCGAGCTAGCTTTCCTACATATACAATTTGAGTATATGATTGGAATATTGTTGAAAGTGGGATGTAATGCCTATATATTTGGTAAAGTTTCTGGAGACTCACCTTATCATGGAAGATCTGTGAGCATGTATTTTGTGCCTTGAGTAGGTTGTAGTTGGTTGTAACTAAATTTAAAGGACAGGTTGTAACATTATAAGAATTGGTCAGATGAAGAGTACATAGACACTCATGGTAGGCTGGCATATATTTGCCATAATTGTGACAGTGACGATGATAGAGTGTAATCTATTTGTATTTGGAAGGTATTTAAATCTAGAAAAAATGTGATCGAACCCATGGAATTGTTACTGTGAACTGTATATAAACAAATTATACCATGTTGCAGCTGAATAATCTCGTTTTGTATTTTTCATTGCTACAGGAATGTAATTTGTCTTTCTTAATCGATCAGAAAACATTTGTCCAGTTGCAACACATATGAAGCTATGGCTGTTGTTTTTCATGGTATAGCCCTCTACCATAAACTGACAATGCAGTATATTTTTTTAATGTATCAAAAACATTTTTTTACTATCATTTTTTTCATGTTCTTGATGAGAAATATAAGGAAAAATTACCCTTCCATTTCAGTTTTTCCATTGTATTGTAATGCGTTTCAATGCAAAGCAGAGCATGCCATATCTGGCACACCGTGTCGTGTAGGGTTAAAATGTTATTCTTTTTCCATATTATAAGTTATTTGCAAGTTACACTGTATAGCCAAGATTTCTTATTTTGTGAGTTGCAATGAAAGTAATGCACTTTTTCAGTTGGATTAGTTTTTTTAAATATTCATCTATCAACTGTAAGCAGTTATAATTACTGTTACTGGTGATCCTGGCATGTGTTGCAACCAAACCCGAGCCCGGGGTCAAAAGTAACATTTGACTAGCCTTTATAAACTGAATTAATTGAACAAATGTGATTTCAAATGGCATGTTATGATAACCAAGATATCAACCTTTCGATTGATGTGCTGTGTAATAAGGGTTCTACTCCTATTAGTGTCATGTCGAGCGCGTCATTTCTGGAAAATGTTACAACCAACCCCGGTCTCCCCTACAATATAAAACAACTACTCATGAAGGTTGCAGATGTGGAATTGACTGTAACGAGAACGGGAGTAGGGAATGTTGAAATGAATGTAAGGGCACTCTTGGAACTTCTTTTTAGGGTACGTGTAGCACAATTGCAAACACCGTACCAGAATGAATCTAGGAATTTTTTTTCGCGAACTAGATAATTCTGAAGCTACTTGTATGCACTCTCATTACACAAAAGGAGGACGTTGTGGTGCTGATATCGGATGAAAAGACACGGGAGATCTTCACTGAAGCTCTCAAGTTGATGAAAGCACCAAAAATGCCACGTATCTACACTCCGAGTTATTTCCGAGGATGCCAGAGTCTTCAGGTGATGTGCGTTGGGGTAGAAGACTCATGGGTGGTAGAGGGCATCTCCCGGGCTATCCGGACCCTCTTCATTGTCGAGGGTGGGACTCACCCTATGGTACAAAGCCGAATGAAACTTTGGAGGGAGATGGAGCGGAGAGGCTTCCTCCTCTACCACCCTTTAGTATCTCCCACAGCCTTAGACTCCCTCACTAAGGACGACTGGATGGCACTGAATCGGAAAAGCTCCTTTCTCAAGGTGCAGTTCTCACGCCTTTATATTACATTCTTACTGAATTCCTATTCATACTATGAGTCGCCTCTTCTTTTACTTCTTCCAGAAATCTACTTATAGCTTTCTCAATGTAATCTTCTGTGCAGATAAGAAATGGCGCTGAGATAGAGGAAGGCGCAAGTAGGGAGACTCCTCGTCGAGATGGTAATTTACACTTTCATCCAGTTGTAACAAACGTTATGGAAGTGCCATGCAATTTTGCTCAGACTTATAAAGGAACGTGTGTTGTTAATCGCATTTCTGCAGAGTTCTCTATAGGCATAGCCCTCATATCCTCCTTGACTCCTAAATCATGCTTTCAATGTCTTGAGGCACATTACTGATAGGTTGTACTAAATATTTATTAGAGAACCCTAGTTGAAAGGGCATTTGTTCCCTCTCTCAAGTATCCCTTTTTAATATTTGGAATCACCACCACAATTTGACAGCTGTCCAACTCTCATGCAGTCTGACATACCATAGGTGGAGGGTGAAAGGGGATAGGGCCATGGGAAAAATTCCTCTATTTGAACATTGGCAGACACGATCATGGAATTGTGAGAAACGGTGCTGGGAATCTCTGTCACAGGCGGGAGACAATGAAGGATTCAGAAAGATGTCGATGTCGTCGGGACGGAGAAGTCGACTGACTGGAGCAGCTGCAAATAGAGCAGTCATTGACACGCATCGCTTTCAATGGCTGGACTATACTTTTTTGTACTAGAAGACGCTTAATTCTTCAGCCAATTGATATTTTGTAGAACTGTATCAATGGTGAGGCTACTCTCTGCAGAGGACGTTTCTGAGTCGAGTACATCTGAGTCCGATGTGAACAGTTCCTTAAAATATTTTTTTACCTTTCAAGTAATTCCGCTTTGGCAGTCCGCACTTCTCCGTTAGTCTATGGTGACCCATGGGATCTTTACTTGAGCATTTAGTTTCTCAGAACACATAGGTAGCTCTGTGGAAATCGGACTTTCTTTGCAAATCGGATTTTCTTCTTCATATTTCCTCTTTCTAAGAGGAAATATAAAGAAAATATTCATATACAGGAACGTGATGTGTTGTGATTTTTTTTCACTTCTAGTTCATCTTTCCAGTCGCTGCATTTGTTGAGTCTCTAGCTCAAAAGGAAAGGAAAACTCTAAACTCCTCATTTTCCATTACCCTTGAAGATAAGGTATCAATGTACAAATGCACATTTTAGTTTGTATGGTATCTGTAAATGAAATTGGTTAGGGTGAGAGCCTATCTGACCAAGTTTTGGAGGCCGCTAAGGCGACTCCCATGAAAGTTTTATTTGAGAAAGAGCCAATGTGACTAAAGGGTATTTGGTAGGGATACACATTCCTTTCACCCTTTTTCTGAGTTTCTTCTCTCGGATTTTCTTCATCATATAGGGAAACAGAGGATTTTCGCTGTGGGTAGAGGGAAAAATGGAGTTCCTGGGATGTTGGAAGTCCTTCATTCAGACTCAACTCTCTGGGTTCAGCAATTGTATTCCGAAGAGAATGTGATCCTCGCCCACTCTGGTAGACTCATCCACGGGAGAGAGATGGAAGTTCGGATCATCCATGTGGAGGAGAAGGATCCCCTTGAGGCCCCTTTTGAATGGGACGAGGTACTTCGCACCCCCCATCAATTCCACATCAAAGCCACCACAGGGGTTATCCTTCAAGACTCCCTTTTTCTCTTCGGAGGGGAGGGAAATCTTCAAGAAGGACGCCGACTGGATCTCAATAAAGAGACTTGGATGTCCCTCTTCCCCTTGCAAGGGAGGAGGAAGGCCGCAGCTTCGGTAATGTTGGACCCCCACAGCATCCTCGTTTTGGGGGGCTGGGACTCCGAAGCCAGGAGACGACTTTCCAGCTGCGAGCGTTTTGACACAAGAGCAGGGGAGTGGTCCTTCTTTCCCCACATGCCCATTCCTCTTTCGTCACATGCCGTCGCCGTGTACAACGAGTACCTATATATCTCAGGAGGATTTAACGAGGGAGTATCACAAAAGGATGTATGGAGGTGTAGTGTGAATGGGGGAGGGCCATGGGAGAAACTCCCCTCATTGAACATAAACAGACATGATCATGGCATTGTGAGAGACGGTGCGGGGACACTCTCTGTCATGGGCGGGAGACAGCTAAGGGATCAGAAAGATGTCGATGTCCTCGAGACGGAGAACTTTACTCTGGATGAAGGATGGGTCACCCAGGAAAGACTTCCCTTCCTGTCTTTGTTGAAGGCGACAGAGATGGAATGAATTACAGTATTTGGATTCCTTCTTCTCGTATCTCTCCTCATTTTCACTCTCCAAGCACACCTGAAGCTTCACCCAATTCAACTACTTTTTTCTCGTCTGGTTCCATTGACATAATGAGGAAGAAGCTCGGGGATGGAGTCCAGATGATGATTTCCTCGCTTGAAATTCTCTCAGACACTTGCTCAAACTGAAGACGAGAGCTTACTGACTCCCTCTTTCCACTCATTTCTTTTCATCTGCTCCCCCTGTTTTCACTCCTTCTAAGAACGATAGTCAACATGATAATAAATACACCCTCTGAAGGAGAACATGCATTTTGTTTTGAATGCTATGGTTTAAAGTGGACAACGTCCCATGATATCTGTCTGTACCCCATTCCTAGGAAAATGGCATGAACGACTTGTACTTATTCTGAATCAAATCAGGTGAAAAAATAGCAACTCATGAAATTCTACCAGGGTATTTTTTGAGAATTGACAACGTAATACTGATCTTACCGCAAAACTATTTGAGAGGACAGGTGAGAACTGATTATAAGAGAGAAATCCAAGTTTTCAGCCATAAAAATCCTAGGCGACGAAGTGAATATGAAAATTTTTTCTACGCTCAGTCTCCTCGTGAAAATTACTCCTGTGGCACCACCATGCAGCATGGGATCATCCAAGTAGCGAAATGACTTGTTTTCGCAAAAAAGTTGCTGTGTGGGAGCTTTGCAACTGATGTTGAATCTGTAAAATCGATCTTCGTGTATTGTGACATCATCGAACCTAAATGCATTGGCCATGTGAAGGTTCCCCTTTTGAGAACTCAGAAAACGAAAAGAAAGCCCTGTGAAACCAAAAAGGACATATTAGAATCTTCATTACACTCTGTCTCAAAAAATTGTGGAACCTTTTTCAGTTTTTAGCCACTCGTAACTGGTTTAGGCTTTCGCTGTGCGCTTTTGTGGGCTGACTAATGCATCAAATGAGCACATGCATGCAAAGTTATAACAATATCCATTCTCAGGTTCTTAAAATACTGGAGGTGATGCAGAGCGTGCCAGCACTAAGGGAGGGCCGCCGGAACTGTACGAGAGCATTTGTTCAAATTCAATTTTGTGCCTCATACAGGATTGGCTGACATGATACGCACGACCAAGATAAACTGCATTAATATTTCCTGTTTGGCGCTCAGAAGAGGTGCTCGAAGTGCTCGCCGTGACATTCTGTGAACAGGAACCATGCAGCGTTTGGATTTGGATCAATGTCACATTGTTCCAAATCCAAACGCTGCACGGTTCGCATTCTCCTGCGAAGGGAAACCAGTGAGTTCCCTCTCTGGCTGGCTGTGCTCGCGCCGAGTGCTGCCCAAGGTCCGCCGCAACCTTACTTGAAATAAACTGCTGCATCTCCGAATTAAATCAATGGATTTTGATACAACTTTGCGTGCATGTGCTCATTTGATGTCTTAGCCAATCCGCAAAAGCGCCCAGCGATAGTCGGAACCAATTACGAGAAGCTACAAATAGAAAAAGGTTCCAACTTCTTTTGGGACAGAGTGTATATTCTGGGATCTAAGAATGAAATTTGAACGATCGAAATGGATATAAGAGCGGAGTTCAGGGATCCTGTAGCATTTCAGTGCGGGAAGTCCATCGTGAAACTCCATTTTCATTCGTTTATCACCATATTTCATATAGCAAGATGTATCCAGACAAATAGCTCGATGAAGTTGGTAGAAATTTTGGATGTATACAGCGAGATGTCGCTCCTCAAACTAGGATATGGGAAATATCTCTTTGACAATCGGCGCGAAAATATTCGATATCTCAAATGGCATTCCCTTCCATCACTCCCCAATACGACGGGCGAAAAAGATCGGAATTTTGGAATAAAGAATTAAATTCTCCAAAAATATTTTCAGAAATTATTGTGCATTGACATTTCAGACTTAAATAATGACAAACAAGTATTAATTATAACTATAATTATGATTAATCGCGAGAAAAATTATGACATTTTGCTAGTCGCCATCAAATACATCTGTCTTATGAGAAGAGTAAGAATGGTGTATTGCAACTGGAAGTTCCTCGTTCTACGAATTTTTTTTAACTCGTACCAATATGGAAAGAGGGTTAAAAAAAAGGGGAAAGAAAAAGAGCAAAATGTTGGCTCATCCCTTCGCGAAAGAATATGCAGTCACCGCTCTCACCTACGCACTTCTAAGGATAATCTCACTTCACTTCCATTCTCAACACATTCTCCCTCCGAGCTTTTGTCTCTGTCACTCATTAATTCTTCCCCAGATTATTGATCCTGGATTGATTTGCGATCCGAAGAAGTTTATCGTGAAGCGTTATTTCCAAACTGTAGTGCAAGAGTAATGTGATCGCAGAGCACAATTTGGAGTAAGGAAAGCCCCAAGCAGATCTGCAATAACAAGACTGGTGAAAATATTCAAGAATACTTCGAAGACCGGGTAATTTGCTGGCTCTACCTATCTCAATCGATTTGCTGGCTGTTTTGGGCGTCTCCTGACCTCAATCCTTGTGATCCCTTCTTATGGCGATTCCTCAAGGACAATGTCTAGTCTCTAGAGAAACACCCCGCAAAAAATTTCAGAACCGAAGGCGGAAATGACGTCTGTCGTGGAGAGCATCAAGCAGGAGACACTTAAGAAGCTTACCATGATAACTTACGGGAAAACTTAAGAGAACGTCTTGAAAGGGTTCTCCAGACCAGAGGGATCTCACATTGAGCACGTGTTTGCATGAAAAAAACGTCAAATTTCCGTGTAAACAATGATGTGTTGCACAACTTCATGCGTCAAATACTTAGGAACATATACATTTAAAAAAGTAGAGCGTCCATATCTGAAGACCCTGTTGATACGAACGTTGAGAGATTCTAAATCAATAAGTTCTCTATTCTTTCCGATCTGACACCTTATAATCTTTTTCTCTGCTACACATAATTTTATGCCCGGAATGAAACTCAAGAAATTGTCCAAACTTGTATTTTCCCATTTGGAATCAGTCAGAATTTGACATCGGAACAAGGGATACAGGCTACATCGCAAGCATAAGTGTTAGAGGGGCTCCTGCCCTAACACCTACGCACGATGGAATGAACTGCCTGCTTTGGACTTGGGACGGTCGCTGCTGCTCGTCGTGCACGAGTCAGCAACAATCTTCAATCACGTCTACTTAGGAGATGGCGGTAGGTCGAGATAAGCGAATGAGTGAGGCAATCCGTGTCTAAATCCTCGCATTGTCACGTGCAGACTAATAAGTGGTACGCGGGGCAGTTTTTGAAGTCCGTTCGGAGCGTCCCGAAGTCTCTAATCCGGTATCGGCAGATGATGAAGCATTCCGCAGGTTAGTAACTTTACCGCTTTTCTCGACAGACTCGTTGTTGGAGAAACATCCACAGAAACATCGTTTCAGAAATGTTCACCTGTTTTCGACCGTGTAGCAGTAGAAGATGAATATGCCGATACCCTGAAAAGAACAAACAAACCCTGACTATATTTTAGTTGCCCCAAATCCTTGTTGCAAAGTATTTCTTGCAATCCCGATACGGTATGGATATTCTCTACTTACATATGTAATCCCTGGGATCCTTACGAAATAAAATTATGCATAAAATTAGGGCTGTACCGATGGGCACATTTTTACCGGTGGGCCGATGGTCAATTTTCATCTCATAGCCATCGACTGGTACTGGTACCGGTGCCGGTTGTTGTCTGAAAATTGAGAAGTAACATGAAAACGCATTCCAATTCATTTAGGCCTATTTGGAAACTGAGATACTTCTCAGGGGACTCCCTAAAAACGATAGTGACCATATTTATTACTGTCTGTCCGTCAGTGGTTAGCTTGTTACCTATTACTGCTGTTAAAAGCGTTGACACTCCTCTAGCAAATGCATAACATAAAGGGAGGAACTATGATTTCCCGTTCTTTACTGCTATTTTCCTCTGCCAGTTCCTGGAATAGGGCTGAAATATAATCCGATCGATATCTTTCTGGTTCACATGTTCACTCTTTTTTCCCCGGAAGTTTTACTTCTAATATTAGCCTCTCCCTTGGAAATAGGCATCGGCAGCTTGCAAACCGACTGATGGCCGATGGAGCCGATAATGCAACACTAGCGGCCGATACCGGTGGTAGCCGGTATAGCCCTACATAAAATATTAAGCTGCGGCTCACCGTTAAGCCAAGTACTTCATCTTTTTTCCGTGCTAGATCGCCCAGTAAATATGAAAGCCTTATTGGTTTTCGTATTGGAAGTTTACGGTTTGCAAATATTTTTTTAGACTAGTTGATCCGGATCCGGCACGCCGAACGGATATTTATAATCTGACAATATCATGCTCCATTTGACAATGCTGCCATGAAGTAAGCAAAGGAAATGGGATAATAAATGCTGAAAGTCAACTTGTGAGCCGTTGATGAGGACGAAGAAGTACGAGAAGACCGGGGACACTTCCTTTGAAGGACTCCAAGTAACCCGCCACATCCCAGGAGACTCGATAGGGTCAACATTTTCATCATGCTTCTCCTACATTCAAGGTCACAACGGTATTAACTGTAATTTTTGTGCTAAAAATATACTCGTCGGCATACTTGCTTTTCTTTTGTTCCTGGTGCCTCTGGATTCCACTTGGAAGCTGGTTTTCTGCTTTAGCGATCACGTAGAACAAGACGATGGAATTGACAAGGATGACCAGAAGGACCGGAACGGCAAATGCCCAAATAGAGACAGGCGACGACAGCCAGCTGCTGTATCTTGAAAAAAGGACAGTTGAGAATTTTCGGCTTCCACAAATTTCAAATCGGCCAAAGCATCGGAAAAAAATGAACGTAGCGAAGCAATGCAGTAAAAATCCATCTACGTATATGAGTGTAAACGCATTTCCCACTTTGGTCAGATAGAATGTGGATAGAAAGAGGGAAAAAAAGAACTCAATTCTCCATCGCCATACACACGAGCGTGGGTGCCGAAGGAAATGCCCACCGTGAGGGCGACGATAAAGGCTGGTACCAAATAACCAGCCGCGTGGGAGACTCGGAGCGAAATGACCCTTGGAGGCAGCTCGGAGGCCACCGAACCATCCTCACGTGACACCATCCTTCTATTGCCATCCATGCAAACGCACAAAGGAAGGAGAAGTGGAGGAATATAACTGATGCCTCGCATTCCACCTTATTCATCGTGTGAGAAGTTGGGAACACTGTTGAATGTTGTAGGAAGCAAAAACGATGACGACTTTGAAGTAGATACCGTTGAAAATTGAAAGAAGCGGCGATCGATAACGAAAAAGATGAGAAGGTCCAGCAACCAGGAACATAACTGTTGAAGTAAATTCAAATGCCGGAAATTCACGTGCAGCTTTTTCTCACTCGAGGACCTCCTGAAAATTGACAAAATATTTGCATGTGGCTCGATCGGAGATTTCTACAAGGTGGAAAGTTCGATGCGACCGACTTACTCCTCTCGAAGACGAAGATGGCCACAGCGAGACAGATGATGGAACAGGGCAGCAGCGTCATGGTCAAAACTTCCAGTACCCAACCGCGACCCTGAAATTTTTACAATTGGTCCCGTAGATTTCATGGAAAAGAGGATGATTGTGCCTCAATCTGCATTTCCATTTTCCTTTCATGCATCCGAAATGAATCCCAGTAGTTAAACGTGACTAGTGAAGAAGGTTAGGAAAGCATTTTTCACTACCTCTAGGAGGTGAGAAATCTCAGGACATTTTTGCATACTTTATTGTTTGTAGGATGAAACGACTTGAAAATCCTTTCAGAGCCAATCGTACAGCTTCTAACGGCAGTGTGGAAATATAATGCATGGAGATTTTTTTAACGATCTTTTCAGTATTTATTTATTCAAAGATTTGAATGGAAAGTACTGAAGAATCACTGTAATCTGCACACGTTTGCTGACACATCTGGCACACGTTTGCTGACACATCTGTCATAGTCGCAGCCGTTTTGCTGGGCAATTTCCATTTCACTTTAGAAATACATAAAATGTTAAAATCTGAATGATCTCATTTTTCGTCTTTTTAGATGTCCTGCTTGGTGTTTGTCCCCGTTCGAGAAACCTGCAAGGAGGGATTTTTGATAACACGTCTGGATTGAAGCACGATAATCGCATCGCTACAAGACCGATCAGGTGCACGGACATTCGGGATTGGGGAAATCTTTCACCTGCGTCATATTGAGCCATCCGTTGAAAGAGGCGAGGATTTCGTCCATGGCCCGAGTGAAATTGAAAAGAAATTTGTGGCTTCGATTCGTAGCTTCATCGTAGACGAGGAGGCTATCGAGGAATCGTTGAAACAAATCCTCGAGGAAGCCGATGAGTTCCACGATCTGCTCCTCGGTCAAGCTTCCTTCGTTCCCAATCAGGTCGATGAGCTCATCCAACAGCTCCAGGGGATCCGTGTCGTTCAACTAGGACAGATTTGGTATGATATTCAATGAGGCTTCGAGACAGTTTTGAGAGTTATTTAATTATCACCAACTCGCAGGTTCATGCAAAGGTGGAACATAGCTCTAGGAATGAGGCTTTATGGCAAATAAGGTGTCTCATAATCCTACTTCCTGCAAGAAACTTGATGCATTTTGGAAAATTGTGATGAAAGTAAAGAAATCATTAGAGTATCTTGATTGTTTAAGGTATGAGAGCTTGAGATTGGAGTAGCAGAATCTGAAGGCATTAGAGAGAGCACGAGAAACGCAACTGCATAAGAATCTGTTCTTTGGAATATCGTGAGCTTCCCTGCTTTCAGATTTACTTTTACAACTCAATCTCGCCTTTTATGACAAACATGTTTTGCCATTGACACCTTTAGAGACTATGGAGAAACTCACCTGGTTCCAATAGTTCTCCAGAAATGCTTGACTTTCATCTGAAAAGAGATACATCTCATTCAGAGGGAAAGTATTGAGAATTGAAAATATGCATCTTGAGGCATTTTCGGTCAAAATTTTCTCCCATTCGTATGTTTACCTCTCTAATAATCATATATTTCTAATGTAATGTGCCTCAGTTCGAAACCTCTCTTCATGGATGCACCTAAGACGGTACATTTGATTCCCGCATTCTGAAAGCCATACGTCACAATATTGCCAATCACTTCCGATCGTGTTGTCTGTTCAATGGGGGAGGCGATATGAGAATCAAGCAGTAAGGCTCGTGATATGCAGCATTAATACTATTAATGCTGCCAGATGGGAGGGGGGGGGGGGAAGGCCGTGATAGAGGGAGCCTCTGTCTCCACTGACGAACCGCTACTGCTGCATACCACGAGCTAAATGTCTCGCCAATGACTGGATCATTCACTTGGTGACCGGAGAGCAATATTTCTAAGGTCCTCCAAAAGTTAATCGACTTTTCGCCTTAAAATAAGGAAAATTGGTTCATACCTTCTCATTGGTTGGATTGCTTGTGAACTGGTCTGAACTGGTGGAACTTTGACTGGAACCCCGTTTGGAAGATCTAGCGAGGAGCGATTCTCCTCATGGCTCATTGCCATAATTTTCTTCAACTGGAAGAGAGCCTCACAGCTAATGCTTAGAAGATGTTTCAAGAATTAATTGAGAATCTGAAAAGACAGCAACAGCATATTCACAATACTGTTAGAAATATCTATCCAGTGAGAAGGCCGAAATTTCTGCCTTTTTAACCCAGTCAAAAATTTATCATCGGGTCATTGATGGCTTTTCGTCGTTGCGTATATTAGTTGAGCCATCACTGGCATACAGCTGGCTTACGGTTGACTTCTGCCTGCTTTTGGCCGAGCATGTACTGTTGGTTCTTCATCGGCCAACTTTGGCTCATAGTTGGAAACCGCACGTGCCCCAATCATAAGCCGATTTTTCACAATGGTGAAAAGATAGAGGAAAAAAATCCATTCAAGCTGCTTCTACAGCATCATGCATCTTGGAGACATAAGAAAGCATCCATTGGCCTGAAACAACTCCATCTAAGAGAAATGAAGGAGCAGTACTTCACACAGGTACACTCCTATTGGTAGGAGCTTCGAACATCGCAAGCAACATCCCTTCCGGGTGCTAAGGCATTCAGGAGCGACTTGTAGACTGCTTTTCTCTCTGTTAATTTGGACTTACTAGCATTATGCTATCAAGTCCAAATTATGTAGGACGGAAAAAAATGTTCCCGGTTCCTTTATCCTGGTCCCCGCTTCGCTCTGAGAATTTAAAAGAGACAGGAAAGAACCTTTTTTTCTCCCTCCCCCTCGCCGCTTTTCTCGAATCCTTCAAACTGATTTGTGACATGCGCCAAATGCAATTTGTTTCTCTCTTAAACCAATCTTCACGTATAAACTTGTTTCAAAGCAGGTTTAACTCCCTAAACGGATTCTCAGAGGTAGTTCAGCATGCTGTTTTGCGGGAGTGGGTCTCATGCTTCTTGCCTCTCATGTAGCAACAGTGGAAATGGAAACTAATGAAGAGATGGAAATTTTTGACCTGATCCTGAACAAAATTGTCAGGACTATCAGAGATGAGCTCGATCCTCTTGAATGGTTCGATGGAGACAAATTCGGAAGATGGTTTCGTCTTCCAGTGGACACCGTCGTCGACTTGGTGCTGATAATGGAGCAACAGCAGGCACAATACTCATCGTTCTCTTTCCAACCCATAGCTCCCATACAACCTTTAAACGTGTATAAGTCGTGGACAAATGTGGTCATGGATACTTTTATGATTTTCTGAGGTGCATGTCGTGCATGTGGTGCATGATGAACAAATTCTTAAACATTTTTATAGTAAAAGTGTTAATGTCGTCCTTAAACTAATCCGATTCCTCAATTGGTGCATGTCACCCTCAGGATTTCGCCGGGATTTCGCTCCCCCCCCCACCTTATTTCTCCTCGCTCAGGGGGGGAGGTGTGGCGAATGCATATTGACCAGAATTGGGGGGTTGAAGCACCCCCCCTCCTCTACGTCACTGGTCAGTGACCAGTGGTCATCCTCTGTGTTCTCTGCAACCCTGGGGAGATGGAGCCTCAAATTTGCTGGAGTGATTCTATGTTGAGAGAGGAAGATGCCCAATTTCTTTTGTGTAGATGCTCTCAGAGAGGGCTCCATGAGGGCTTTTCTTCGGTCTAGTGCGGTTCTCGTATATTCTGCTATCTTCCCCCACATAAATGTTGATTCATACACGTCCCGCAACGCGTCAACTCCGCTTGGGTTTAATTCTCCTGGAGGTCTGCCACGTAGGTATGTCGCAGGTCTGCATAGTCTTGACATTGGAAAGATGTAGCTCGTCCTCCTCTTCTTGCCACAAAGGACAAATATACTTTCTGACATCCCCTATACTTACTAGTGTCGGCCATTTCCTTGTTCCCAGTCTAAGATTAGCTAACTGGGATCTCACGAATTTGTTATCTGTCCGTGTCACGTTAGCCTCTCGTGAGAGAGAGCTGTCTTCATCTCTGTTTATATTCGAAGGGTTCTCATTCCCCAACCTGTTGTACTTGATCATTCGTATCCTTCAGTCCCTCTTGAGGGCATTAAGGAACCAGTTGCCTCCTGGTCCCGCCCACCATAGGACCTTGGGGTTGTGGTTGTGGTTGTGGTTTTGGTTATGGTTGTGGTTGTGGTTGTGGTTGTGGTTGTGGTTGTGGTTGTGGTTGTGGTTGTGGTTATGGTTGTGGTTGTGGTTGTGGTTGTGGTTGGGGTTGCGGTTGAGGTTGGGGGACGAGTTGAAGGGGACGATTGGGATGGAGATTGGAGGGCAAATGGGGAGATGATTGGAGGGAGGCGATTGGGGAGCAATTTTATTCATTTTTTGAACAGGGGTCGGGAACCTATGGCTTATGAGCCACACTTGGCTTACGAGCTGAAAATTTTGGTTCATTGAGTCATGGCTGAAAATTATGGCTGTTCCTGATTTTCCTCTTGTATTAAATAATGCACATGTCTGTTGCTTACTTCAGAAAAATTTGTTGTTTTGAAAATCTTTGGCCCACGAGCACTTACCTTATTGATAAGGTACCTGATTGATATTTTCTTATTGATTGATCTTAATATGGTTCACATGGCCGAAAAGATTCCTGAGCCCTGCTTTAGACAGACTTGTGCGGCATGAATCTCGACCTGAGTGAGCATTAGTCGCTCGAGGCATTTATTCTTCGCCTCACCGCGTCGTTTCCATCGCTCCACTGCTTGAATCGATGCCGTGCACCGATGCACCACGATAACAGTTCTAATGAGGAATTTGACACGCTCATCTAGTTTAGGGAAATATCAGCAGTGCAAGGAGGGAGAACAATGTATTGAATACACGTGCATCGATCCGCTTCAGATCGGCTTTGAATTCTGGTGACTGCTGCAGCTTTAGCTCGCAGTTGCGATTGAGTTTCTCGAGAAGGGTTGTCAACTCGGAGGCCTTGGTCCTCAAGCGACTCTCTTTCCGCGGAGATTCGATCAGTTTCCGATGCTTCTCAGCTTCTGACATACGGCACACCTGATCTTCACCTCCATTCTATAACCCATTTTCGTTTCGAATCATTCCCATCATAGCTAATTGAACTGCTTTCAGGGCATTACATATGGATACTAATCTCAGAATACCATCAAGATAAATAAAATAAGCATTTCTCTGAATGCTTCATGTGAAGCTCAGAATAATTGCCAAAGACATTAGAGTGGACAATATTTCCACATAGAGAGTCTATCAATAAAATTTAGGGCTGACTAATAAATAATATTTTCCAGTTCCACAAACAAGACTGTTTCATCGCAGAACTGTTGCATTCTCATTTCCAGGTTGCCTCAGCCTTCAGAATCGAAGCACTTCTCTATGTCAATTTGGAATAGACAGTCAAAAAATATAACTTCTAACTTTCGAAATGTTGCCGATCCATCCTGACAGATGATCTCTCTTTGGACAGTCTCAGGAAATGAAGGGGGGAACCACATTAGGTTATAAGTGAACAAGAGCAGCTGACAGTGGTTTATCGAGAGGATGGGTCTTTCATCGGGCAGATATGGAAAGGGGAAATTCTGCACATGCATAACTGACGTGATGCTGAGTTCAGGAAAGATTAAACTTTTGTTTTCAACAACAGATGCGTTTATAGTAGGCTGTTCCTTTGGACTGTCGTCGCGTAAATGCGTCTTCAGTTTCTAGCGCCTAGAGCTACCGTCGCTTATATGCGACTATAATATAAATTTTAGTAGACGTGCTGCCATCTGTCGGTAGTAATTTAAAACATTTCTAGACTTTTCCAAAACGTATTTTTCGAACACTAGGCATCGTTCTAATTTAGCTCGTAGTTTGAATTAACAAGAATGTTAAGTTTTTATGCCTTATAATTTTTTAATAACAGAATACCCGCGATTTCACATTTTTTCGAAAAACGAACTCAGTCTGTGGGTGGGGATAATGACCATAAAAGTCAGTATCGAAAGGTTTAATGATACATATAAGAAAAACTGAGATCCCAAGCTGTAAGTGAGCAACATGGATCCAGGAGTGATCGATTGCGTGCTGGAAAGAAATAATTAGTAGAGGTATTAAACCAAAGTGACTCTGAGGCAATAAGGCTCTCCGTGTCGGCCCTTGCTTCCGGGAATACCAAACCCTAAAGACTACCAAGGTAGATGCAACTTTGAACCTCTCATACTCGAAGGGACTTCATCTTATAAGCCCAAATTTGTTTTGCCTAAACATTGAGCACACCCCGAAAAAAACCCGGTCGGTAAGCCCGGCCATGCATACCGCATGCATACCATGCAACTCCGTACCGAAAGGGTTAAGAGTGATGAGAAAACCGTGCCTAATGTAATGGGAACGAGAAGGTTCTTGGGGTGATTGGTTCCGAGGCTGAGTGGTGTGCTTCATATAATAGAACATTTGGGGTACCCAAGAATTGTGAAAAATAGCAGACAATTTGCATCATGAAGAAAAGGCCATCCTGCAAGATGAGTGTGATTGGGTGCGCACATCGAGTCGCCAAGACACTTCTAATCCTCATTCAAGGACCATTTAATGATTCTGATGTTGAAAGCAATTTGATTAGAATAAAGTTGGGATATGTAGAATTAGTTTACAATTTGTTCATTGAAACTTTTCTCGAAGATGTAGAGGTAAGAATAATTCTATATTCAGAGGAAGATCTACACTGAATTCTTAAACTCTTCAAAATAGGACACTTTTGATAATAGACAACTTCCGAATAAACGCGGATGATGGGAAATACAAAATAATTCAGGGAGGGACTTCCAACGATCAGTGCAAACTTCGAGAGTGGAAAATGGATCATGGGAGCGCTATTTGTAAAGAAAAGAAAAATTACGCGCAATGAAGAAAACCTGAACACTCAAACGGGATCATTGGAGGATATAAGAATGAGATTCAACAAGGGAAAAGCTGAGCAAATCATCTGCATTGCTGGAAGTCGCTGTGGGATATCAACAAATGCTTCAACTTCGTCGCACCGTTTGAAAGAGAAGCCAAGAATAGGTACATACCTGAATCATAGGG